CGCCTACAAAAGATGTTGCGAATTGGCTGGATTCTGGTTACCTACACTTATAATTAAATTACATTTTAAAATGTCTCTTAACTTTTTTGTTTAAAGCATTAAACCCCCCCCAATTTATTATCCACTACTTTACTAAGAAATGATTTTACTAACAGGCCAGCGCCAATAAATTTATGAAATACAATGGAGCCGTCAGAGCGACGAGTTTCCAAGAAAAGTGTTTGGGGCTTTTGGGACTCACGCAGCTGCCTGGCGTCGCACGTCTTCGAACACGTCTTCACGGAGATGTTCACAGCCTCAGCATTCCAGTGTCCCTTTGGGCCTAAATTCAGTAAATAAATATTTAAATAAAAAAAATATGATCGTAAGTCCCTAAAGGGACTAGGAACTTGACGCAGAAGTATCGGAACGGAACGATAGTCACACCATTCGAAAACCCTTGAAACGGCCAGTCTGCAGCAATACTCAACACCATGTTTTTATAATATAATATAAACCCGCTATTTTGCAAGTTATTTCGTAAAATTTTGCGGTCCTTCGATGTCGCATATAACGTAACTTGCCTCAATTTCTCCAAGCAAAATGACCGGAAGTGGGCGTTAATTATATGCAGAGGCCGTTCACTAACGTTTTTAAATGCGCTACTTAAACAAATTAATTTAAATTAGCTGGATTCTGCGGAAACGTTAGGGCAAGAACGTGAACCCAAAGAATTTCCCGATTTTAAGACATTTTACGCCAAATTGGAGAGTATCAAGACTTTCCAACAAACCCAATCTATTTCTGCTGCTCTCCCTTGATCGTAGGTGGCGTATCGGTACGGAATAAAAAAATAGTTTGCGTTTGAAATAATGCAAGTGCGCGGGATCGCGGTTAGAAAAAAAACTGGTAATTGTAGGACGGGTAGATTCGGGTGGGTGACTTGGGAGGGCGGTTGAACGGGATTTATGACTATCGATTCGGGGGAGCCAGAGCTCGGCCCCCAAAGCTATGCAAATACGCAGCGAGGGGAGCATGACATCTTTCTGCGTTGGCGCGAAGGGGCGGTTGATGGGGGAGATAAAAATGGGAGAGAGAAAGAGAGAGAGAGAGAGAGAGAGAGAGAGAGAGATAAAGTGAGAGAGAGGGAGAATGCTAAACAATGGTTCTTTTTATGCAGATATAAAATAGCAGAAAAACATTTATTTTATTAGTAATAGGCGACATAGTGGAGTTTTCGTTCCCGATTCGGATTCTTCGCCCCCACAAAGTACAGATCACAGTCCTGATCTGGTGGGAAGTTGATGGTGACGTTCTTTCCTGCACGTTCCTCAAGTAGAATTGATCACCGTCGGCCAGGCTGCCAGTGGCCCAGAACCGTTGGGCCCTACCGTGTTTTGCTATGAACCGATTGCTCCACACGTAGCTCTGGCCGTCAGCGTTCTGCAACAGGCAAACTTTCTTCCAACAATTGTCAAAAAACTCTTTTTTATTTAAGCACGCCATTTTACAAGCCATTTTTTAAAATTATGCGGGTTTTTTGGGGTTGCATACGAGCTAATTTGCCTTAAATTCTCCATAAAAAATTCATATCAAATTTCAAAAATTTTCAAAAATTCATTCTCCTTTTAATTACATGCAGAGGCCGTCCCCTAATATTTTTCAAGGCTTTGTAAAAATGTGCGTTTAAATAAAAACATGGTTTTGAAGATTGTTGCAAATTTGCCGTTTCAGGGGCTTTCGAATGGTGTAACTATCATTCCGATCCGATACTTCTGCGTCGCATTAGAGGGGATGTTTGGCCTGTAGGCTAACGCTAGTTTCGATGTACGTTAACCACCTTTAGGCAAAGAGAGTATCGGAATTCACATGAGAAACTCAATTTTAATGTGCAGAACGACAATTTTTCGAACTCTGATAGCGTGCAGTCATCTCCTAGTCACCTAATACCTAACATACGTGCCTAAACTTTTTACCCTGCTCGAGATCTCCTGGAGGCAGACTGACGGAAGTTGCATGTAAATGAACACTGACAGATACAGCCTTTTTTAGATATTGTAAGATAGGATTTGAAAAAAAGCGCGAAGATCGAAATGCGGATACCTTTGGGTAGGTGGCATTGAACACTCGGCCGTCGTCGACCACCCTCAGCATCGACGGAGCCAGATAATCTGAAAAAATAGAACAATTAGCGGAAAACCATCGGGAAAATTTTTAAGCGTATGGCTACACTTAGACAAGGCTTGTTTGCGGGTTTTTGCTACGTAAAATAAGTTAAACCAAACCCGGTCCTGGCGGGAGTGGAACGCTGGTGAACGTGGCCGTGAATTCGGGCGCGTCTGTTTTGTATCTAAAATCTGGTGTTCGCGTTTGGCAAGAAGTAGAAAAGGTACTAAAATATTACGTGAAGTCGACCATTTGCCTCGGGGCGATGAACTCGAACTTCTTGTCCTTGTTGCCGATAAGTCTAAATAAAGGGTTCTGGACGGTTAGCGGGGGGGGGGGGACCAAATTTTTTCCAGGAATTCCATATGGCACTAGAACGAAATATAAACCGTTTTTATAGCATCTTTCCAGGTTTGTAAGGCAATAAAAAAATCAGAGAAATTCTGAAATTTTTTACTTTTAGCGAGAATTTACCAAAAAAGGCCAAAAATTTACATCCAGAATTTTTAAAATTTTGAGGATATTTTTGTAAGTGGGTTTAGTTTGGTTTAGTTCGTTTTTTTTGGGGTTTAAATCGAGAAGCGTCGGCTTACTCAACAAGCTTCAAGTATTGGTCCAGATCCCAAGTCACGTTCAGCAGGTCGTCATAATTTTTGCCGATCTCCATCGATGGGATCTCGATGGTGATGTGCATACCATGCCATTTGTTTGGCGTAGAGTTAAAGTCCTAAAAATACGCGATGTTTCCGAATTCAAAGATTTAAGATTTAAATACTTCTAGTGGAGCCCACTAACATATATGCAGGGACGTAGCGTAATACCGGCCCCGGGGGCCCGGGCCCCCCCCGAAATCGACCGGGGCCCGAAAATTTCATAAGGGGGGACCCTTATGATTTTCATTTTCTCAAAAATTTTGCTGACTGCGGCGCTATTTTTTCACTTTTTTTTACGGCTATTTGTAGAGCTATGTAACCTTTTTTTCAAAAAATTTTGCCTGCGGCGCTGTTTTCTCGTTGATGTTTTGAGTTTCTTGGCAAAAATTTTAGGGCCCCCCCCCCCGAAATTCTTTTCTGGCTACGCCCCTGCGTATATGGAAACTATTTCGTAGCATTTTTTAGAGTTAAAAACCCCAAAAATTAGAATAGAAAATTTTCGCAAATTCATACTTTTTCAGGAAAAATGGCCAGAAGGTCACAATTTTCGAATACTCAATTTTTCCCCGCCAATTTTACAGCACTGAAAAACCATCAAAAAACTATTTTGTTCGAAAAATCCATACACTTTTGTATTTTTTAATGAAAATTTGTAGTTTTCACGTTAAGGAATAGCAGAAACAGTTTATAAACATTTTCTCTATTTAGATTAGAAAAATTTGACTCTTCCAGAAAATGATCCCTCTCTGCCGATATTGCAAACGTCTTCACTTTAAGAACGAAAAATCGGGGGTTTTTCACCGATTACCGTGTGATTGCCGATCACGGTATGAGCCACAGTCCCATTCCACTTTTCGAGCAGGGCGTCCTCTTTCTGGAAAACGGCCATGCAACTCCACTATAGCTACAAACTGTCTCAAAGAAAAGAGAGCCGTCAGCAGTCAGGTCCGATGTTTACGATTGAGAGATCAATTGAAAGCTAAGAGGAGAAATATGTTCAAACACTCAATTTAATCGGCTTCGGCACCATCGGCACTGTGTTTTTTTGTCAAATTTTTTGCTCAATACGGCTCAAAAGTGTTTGCCTCGAGTTGCCAGGAAAAGCGTGGAAATTTATAAATTGTGATTTTGTAAGAAATGATCGGAGAAACATCAAAAATTTGATTCATTTCGCAAAAATATGAGGAATCGTAAAAAAGTTTTAAATTTCAAAAATCAAGAGAAGACCTCTCTGCGGCTCGTCGAGAGCTTTCGATAGATACCTAACTCGTAAAAATCGGACATCACTGCGGACCGCTAGAAGGGGTTCGTTGTTTGGGACGCCCTTCATAATGACCGTACCACGAGCTTCAGCGATATTTTCTGCCCTGGAGGGTTGGCAATGTCTTTTTGGATATACTTTTGGTATGCTAAATGGATTGGAAGTAGATGGCAATCACAAACTCACGGATGAACTCCCATTCTCCGGATACGGTAGCGGCCAGGAGAGCGAATATGCCCAAGCCGGCCAACATGTCCAGCACGTTTAGGCGGAAATTGTTGCAAAGAACGGCCGGTGGCTGTTTATAAGCCCAAATTGTTTTATGAAAGGATAAACACGGAAGTAGTTCGTGGAGTTCAGGTCACACCCCCCAAAAAACCCGGTCTGATTCGATGGGGTCAAGGCTGCAAAGTGGACCAAAATATCTCTCACTCACTCTCTCACTCACTCTCTCTCTCACTCACTCTCTCACTCACTCTCTCTCACTCACTCTCTCTCTCTCTCCCTCTCTCTCCCTCTCTCTCTCACTCTCTCTCACTCACTCTCTCTCACTCTCTCTCTCTCTCCCTCTCTCTCTCTCTCTCTCTCTCTCTCTCCCTCTCTCTCTCATCTCTCTATTCCCGTGGCACCCCACCCAAATACTCTTTGATGTTCATCCTACCTTATATAATTTGGTCGCGTATCTTTGTGTGTGTGTGTGTCCGGCGCCAGGGAGGGCTACTTTGCATAATTCCAAAAATACAAATTTCCTCATTCTTGCAAGTTGCACGCGCGGGTGTGGTCGGATGAAGGGAGGGGTCCGAAGGACCCAAGCTATCGGAAAGTCAAATTTCTGATGCAAAGGCCGCATTCCAGCGCCCAAGGCCCGCGAAGCGGGTTTTGGGCGCTGGTTTGTTTATAGTTTTGAAGTCTGATACAATAAAAAATTTATTGCGTCCCTATTGCATGGCGAAAAATAACGATGGTTTTTCGTGGTGTGGCAGGCATGCCGTTTCAGCCGGGATCGGAGACCTAGAAAAAAAATTGGAAGTCGAGCCAGAATCTATCGTTTGTAAGTCAGGGTTAATTAAGACCAGTTTGAAAAGCCGCTTCGAGACTTTTCAACCTTGGCGCCGTCAGAGTACATGATATCCTTCACATTAGATGCCGTATTTCCTCTAATATAAACCCCACTCTATTATAACCAGTGGCGTAGCTGACCGCAAATAACTATGCTGACCCATAAAAACTGAAGATCCTATGCAAAATCCACATGTAAATTGCGTGCTAAAGCAAGCAGGACTCCGCTGTTCTTACGCTTTTTTTAAGAAATGGTTTAATATCGGGCGCGGGCTAAAGAATTTTGTAAAACGAAAAGCGCTTGTTTTCTTGCCGTTTCAAGGGCTCTCGAATGGTGTAAAACTCGTCCCGATCTGAATTTTCTCGGAAACGCTAGACAGGATCGATTTTTTGGGACACTCTATATTTGCTAAGATGGAAAAATATAAAGTAATTCGTAAAAACAAACTTACAGTTCTCCTAGAAGTCGGCCCCAATTGCCGCACCGCACCAACACCGCTCGATTGTTAAAAATTGTATAGAATATTGTTATAGAAAACAAAAAAAAAATTGAAAAATTAAATATTGATTCAATATCGCTCAATAATCACAAAAACGCTCTTTTTCAGTTCCGCCGATCGGCACTTTATGTGAAGACCTGGGTCGGAAGGTTAGAGGCGAAAGAAGAAAATCATGTCGCAGAATTTTGAACCTCCCACGAAAACCGGGCCGTCACAAACTTAGCCAATCAGCATATCCAGGGGGACCACTTGGAGGAGAGAGCCACCCCCCTTTTTGTCTTTCTAAAATTTACAGACTCCAAACCGCCCAGCTGGATTGGTGGAGATAAAATCTGCCAGGATGCCCACCGAATGCCGATTAGGGGGAAAGAGTAAGGAGAGCAATGAGAAGAAAAAGAGAAAATCCAACACACCGATTGTCGAGATTCTCGGGCCCGAATTGCCAGCGTCACTGGTTTCGTTCTTGCTACCAATGGCAACAGCGCTTAGGTCTCACCGATCACCCACTCACACACGTCTCATCAAAAACGCCGAAAGTTGTAATCTCGCTGGCAACCAAGGTTTACCAAGAGACCATCGACTTTGTATCGGTGGCTTTCGTTGCTTTTGAAATCTTTTTTCTTTTGTCTTCGTCAATATATATTCACAATGTATAGCAAAATTAATAATATCTAATCAATTAGAGCCTTGAGCACGGATGTTATTAGCAAAAATTTGATCTGCTTCTTGCTGCTTGCCTTTTGCAGTATCTGCGGAGGCCTTCTCTAGATATTTCTCATCAACTTCTGTAACGATTCCTGCCCGATGGGAGACGATCGTCAGTGTCAGAAAACTCCAGTCGTAACCAGCCCATTTATTGCGTAGTTTTGTTTTGTTATTTTTCCCGGGCTGCGGCTTCTTTTTGTGCTTACAGCACTTCAGCTCGACAATCTGATGGCGACCGTCGTCAGAGCGTACAAAGCCATCACCCTGGACACAGAGCAGCACTTCCAAATCGCCAATCCAGGTCTTGATCACGTAGAAGTCAAGGCAACCAATGTGATGGGGTTGTTCATTCCCATTTTCGTCAAAGATCGCAAGCGACGAAAGCACTTCGGCCACTAGCCCAAAACATACCATATCGACGTTCTGTTGGCCCCTCTTTTTAGTGCTGACACACCTGAAAAGCATCATGCCACTGGGATGTTGAGATTTGGCTTGCTCGTATTCGCCAATATCGTAGCCGGCATAGTAACAGGTTCGCCAGCTGCGAGGGCCAGCAAACTCGATGAATGGAAGGTGTCCGTACTGCAAAAAAAACTGATCGCCATTTGGGTGGTTCGCAATTAGGTCCAAGAGGAGGTCCATATGATGTTTAATATAAGGCACCGAGGTGAAGTCTTTCGGGAGTAGTCGTTCAGCTTCCTCGTGAAGGTTTAAGCCCATCAAACTGCTAGACAACGCATCCCCCCGCTTAACGTTGCTGGCCCGGGGAATATCTCTAATCGTCATAGAATAAGACAAGTCAACATTATTATGGAAAACGGAATACATGCACACAAACTCATAACCGGCATCGGTTTCAGATCGCGCGGGCATCCTGGCAGATAATATCTGAGGAAACCATGGCGGCGAAGGCTTTTATACAAAGCGCGAAACACTCCCCTTATCGGGAAACGTCCCTAAAATTCGATGGGGAGGTGGTGGATTAGCCTACAACCTCTTGGGTCGGCGCCGCTTATCTGCTAACGCGCGATCGTTTGTAGGTGATTTTGGCATTTCGGGACCGGACCTAGCCAGTCCGATCGAGAAAAAAGCTGACAAGGAGTGCTTTTTGAGTCATCGACAAAACCTTACGGGACCTAGCTCATCGGAAAGAGAATTCGATTGTGAACGAGACCCCGTTGTTCTTTTTTGCAAAATGGCCATCGCTGATTTTATCAAATTAAAAAATCTAAGACCGTCTCTTACCATGATTATCCTTGGTTCAAAAAGAGAGGCTTTTGGCTTTTTTAATTTTATAAAATCAGGGATAACCATTCCGCAAAAAAGACAACAGTGTCTTATTCAGAATCGAATTCTCTATCGAATGAGCTGGGGCTCGTAAGGTTTTGCCGATGTCTCAAAAAGCACTCCTTGCGAGCAAGATCGAGGCACGATTTTAGGGTTTTCCGTGTACGAAAACCTCCCATTATCCGTCCCTCGGGGAAGTATACCCTCCTTGTTCCGATCGATTTTCCAGAATTTCGATAAAATTTAAGTTAAAAAGACCTTTCTCTCTCTCTTTCTCTCTCTCTCTCTCTCTCTCTCTCTCTCTCTCTCTCTTTCTCTCTCCCTCTCTCCCTCTGCCTCTATCCCTCTCTCTCTCTCTCTCTCTCACTCTCTCTCTCTCCCCCTTTGCGTGCACATATAAAATCGCGGGAAAACTCTTTATCTTATTCAAAATACGCGATAAATTTGAATTCTCGTTCTCTATTCGGGTTCTTCGCACCCACAAAGTACAGCTGATATTCTTTGTTTGGCGGGAAGTCGACGGTGATGTTCTTTGATGGGTCAAGATTCAGGCTAAACAAGGCAATTTGGACGGAATTCTGACAAGGAGTGCCTTTTGGGTGTCATCGGCAAATCCCTTCGAGACCTAGCTCATTCGATAGAGAATTGAATTCTGAACAACCCTTTGTCGTTCATTTTTGCAGAATGGCTTTTCCTGATTTTATAAAATTAAAAACTAGGGTGCGAAAATCCCATAGTTCCTCGGTTGCTGTCGCCAGACAAGCGCCCAGCAGCCCTAGGTGAAGTGCCCACGGGTGCGCCTTCACCCATCATCACCGATGGCGCTGCGGTTAACGCATCTGCCTTCGAAGTTTCTTTTTGCCTTTGGTTGAAGGTTCGGTTCTTTTATGCGTGTTTCCTTTTGCTTTTTGAACCTTGATGATATTTCCACACCTTTTAGGCATTTCTGGGTCCTGTGGAGGCATTAGCAACGTTTCCACGTTGGGCTAGGACAAGAAATCAGGACATTTCTCTGGCCAAAATTTTCTCTGGGACTGTGACGGCCAATTTCAATTATTCAGATTCTTAAAACGCTCTGAAAGTCACAAAAGTTTACCAATACCGGAATCGAACTAGCAACCCGAAGCAAAAAAAGTTTGAAAGACTGACGCCCTAGCCACTGCGCCACGTCTAGCGGTGGGAAGAAGGGGCCGGAGGGCCTCTTCCCCTTGGGGCTGCTCCGGGGCAGCAACGTGCCGACGTGGACGCATAAATTCGACAGCAACCGAGGAACTATGGGATTTTCGCACCCTAGTTTTTAATTTTATAAAATCAGGAAAAGCCATTCTGCAAAAATGGACGCCGAGAGGTTGTTCAGAATTCAATTCTTTATCGAATGAGCTAGGTCTCGAAGGGATTTGCCGATGACACCCAAAAGGCACTCCTTGTGAGGAGATTGTAGTTTTTCGAAAATCATACCTAATCTTCTCCTGCGTCTCCACATTCCTCAAGTAGAATTGATCTCCGTCAGCCAGCAGACCCGAACTCAAGAATTTCCAACCCGATTTCCATGCTGAGAAATGCTGACTCCAGATGTAGCTGAAGCCGTCGGTGTTCTGGAAATAGGAGAGAGTGGAAGAGAGAGAGAGAGATAGATAGATAGATAGAGAGAGAGGGAGAGAGTAAGAGACAAAGAAGGAGAGAGAAAGAGCGGAAAGAAAGCGAGAAAAAGCGAGAGCGACTACCTTTGGATACGTCGCATTGCACTTCCAAGCTCCTTTCCGCAGCTTGGACGGCGGAGCGAGAAGATCTGAATAATGAACTGAACTAAATATGCACTGGATGTTTAACAGAAAATAATCCAAACTTGCCACGTCCTTGCTTGAGCGGTACGCTCGTGAAAATGGCGGTGAATTCGGGCGAGTCTTTTGTATATCTAGACGGGGAGATCGTATTTTAAAGTTATTGGTACATTAAAATACATACCAAAAATATGTATGTACGGATTACGAATAAGATATCGATCCAAAAATAAGAATAAATTACATGAAGCCGACAGCCTGCCTCGGTAGAATGATCTCGAACTTCTTGTCTTTGTTGCCGATTAACCTAAAACAACATTTTTAGCGAATTTTAGCGCCCCATGAAAAATTTTTTTCAGCCCTTGAGACCCGACTACCATTGAGGGAGAGTTCGTTCATGGTGCGTCGGCTCCAGGGTTGGTCATTTTGCGTCCCGTCCCCGTCCGTCCGCGTCCGGACGGGGACGCGGGACCGTCACCCTAATTTGCATAAAATTAGGGGACGGACGGGGACGCGTCCGGGAAGGGACGGACGGACAGACGGGGGACGGGGTGACGGTCAGCGTCACCCCGTCCCCGATGCAAATGCCGGAATGCAAATGGTTTTCCTACCAGTAATTATTTCGGGTCTCCTTCTTGTTTCTTTAGGGGAGTCAAAAATACATGCAACTCAGGCCAAGCTGGAAGTTATACCTAGATGGCGTCGGCGCTGCAGATAATCACCATTTTTTCGGAATTTGCTACAGAGCTTAAAAATTCGAGATATTCAAGTTAGAAAGCAATTGGTTACCTACCCTACGTGCTAGGTTATAAGCATTTCATCGTCATCATGCAATCCACGTTTTGTACCTTGCTCTGCGAAATTCTAAACCCAGCCGATGCGTGATTTGAATGCCATTACTTTATCCCCGTAATTTGCATCGGGGACGGGGACGCTGCCCTGTCACCGTCCGTCCCCACCGTCCCCGTCCCGTCCCCGTCTGTCCCCATTTCGGGATGCAAATTAGGGGACGGGGACGCGTCCCCGTCCCCGTCCGTCCCGTCCGTCCCTGAACAACCCTGGTCGGCTCCATTGGATGGAATAAAAGAAGGAATTCCCTCACCAAATTGAAGCCAATTTCGCACTATCCGGCCACCCCTTTCTCACAATTTCCCGATTGATCCTGCGGATTTTTCGTTAAAAATTCTCTTAAAAATGTAAGTAATTTTTAATTTTATAGCTTTTACTTGTTACATACTTTATATATCTTTAGGTTTTCACAGTTAAAACCAATTTTAAACACTATCAATCAAGGTTTTAATTTTTCATCAGTTTTGGCCATATAAAACCAATTTTTTGGATATATATAGTGGTAAATAAAAATTTCTATGATGCAAAATTAAATGATGAACGAATTAAAATGATTTAGGAATCTAAAAGCTATTGTCTATAACAAATCCCGACGCTGGGCCGGCCATACATTTTATGTCGATGTGGAGGAGGGAGCGACGGTCGGGGATTTTAAGGTATGCTTTTTAATTGCTTTAATTATTATTTTTACGTAATTTTAGCCATTTTAATTAAATAAAAATAAAAATTAAATGAAAGTTGCTAAGACGCAATTAACGAGAAAGTTTTTAGAATGCCGTGATGCACCAAACGAAGATCCCGCCCGACGAGATGTGGGTCGTTTTTGGAGGCGAGTTTTCGAGGTTTTGTAATGAACAGACTGGAAAATAGCGTGTTTTAGAATGTAGTTAGCCCTTTAAGACCGCCGTGAAACCATATTGAAAATTTAAGCCTTAAATAAAACCGGAATTTTAGTAACCGAGCTGAAAGACAACGTGCAGCTCGCTGATGTGCATATCCGAGACGGCTACACCCTGTACGTCACCCCAACCACCGTAGAATTCCCTGAATACCCTAATTTGTGATTAAAAATCAAGGATTTAAGATGATTGATTAAACGACGCAATGCGATAAAAACATCGTGAAAAACCAATTCAATGCCTAAATAGTTTTATTGAGATCTTCAAGGGATATTTGAGAGCAACGAAAGTGATCAAAAATCACAAAATTGGAGGAATATGGTAGAAATTCGACTCAAAAATTATCAGAAAAACTAAAATACCTGTCGTTTCTCACCTTTTTATTTTTTTGTGGAAAAATTAATTTCTTTTTGCAAAAATTTAGCTAAACTTTTTAAATATAGTTACAGTATCGGTTAGTACAAGAAAGACAAAAATTTGAGGTTAAATTTGTTCAGGAAAAATCAGTTGATTTTATAGCGTGGCATCGTAGCGAATAGTTCCCTCATTCCCAAAATGGGTCCTCGATTTCGAGCGGGGGAATTTGGCGTGCCAGTTGTTCAGCACGCGCTGCCTGGCGTCCTCTTTTGCGTACGTGGCGATTTGTTCTCTGAAATGACAAACTGGTAATACGCTTTTTGTCGGGATGTCTCCGCTATTTTTGCTTTTTTTAAAGGCACTATGCAGCAGGAAATCGAAAACTACGCGATACGCCTAAAAAATGAAGGTCGGTACAACCCTAAGCCGCGCTAAAACAAAATTTTAAGTGTCATTTGGTGTATCGCGTAGTTGTCTATCTCTGCTTTTTAAAGGAACTGTGAAGGAAATGAAAAGTGAACTATGCTCATACCTGCTGGGGCTGCACCGTGGTTCCCTGGGCGCGTTCAGCTTTCGCTTCAACCATTCCACGAACGCCGCATTGGCTTGTTCCCTGAAAAAAATAATGAATAAAGATGCGCGTAAGGCATGACTAGGTATCTTGTTGGCTATGGATTTCCATGGATTGCCGCGACACGTTACGCGCACGCCGGGGCGTAATGGTTTGAGAACGTATCACTTGCGTAGCAGGTTGAGAAGCGGGAAAATAGCAGTAAATCCATAGCGAAATCTTGTAATTCCCCTTAATTTACCGTAATTACCCGTTTTCCTCTTTTTTTCCGTTGGCAATGAATTACGAAATCGGGCGTTTCAGGCGTGAGCGGCAAAAATTAGAAAATCTATAGCCAACAATCGATAGGCAAGCCTTGCATGAGCCTTTAAAGGAAGGCCGACAGGACCTTATGAGGCCATTTTAAAGATCCCCTGAAGACACAAAGGCATAAAAGTCCACTAGCTGTTATGCCTCTACATACCTTTTGCGTGCATCCTCCGCCTCGCTGCGCAATTTCTGGTCGACCTGAAGCCGGGTGGCACTCTGGAAATATGGGTATGGAATAGAGAAAGAGAGAACAATAGCAACCAGCCATGGCCCGGCCATAAATTATTCTTTTTTCAGTGCTAGGTGAGTGGGGGTTTCAGTGTCGGGGTATTGATTTTTAACAAAATTTTCGAGTTACCAGGCGGATCGTGAAAAAAACTTAAACGTCTGTGCTTTTTTGATACCTTACCACACGGCTAGTAGTGCCAAAAGCCCCCTGTTAATAAAAACAGAAAGTTTAATTACGTAGCGTAATCGAATAAGACGACTTTTAGCGATTTTTCGTATTTCGATTTCTATTTGTGCAAGCCAAACAGTCAGATTGCGATGAAGAATTATATGGCGTAATCCATTAAACCGACTTATAGCACGATTTTCGGCTATTTCAAGATTTTAGTCACATCGCCGCGCTTTTTGTGATAGGAATTACATGGCGTAATCGATTACGCCAATAGTTTATCTATTTTCAAAGCTGTTTTACCCGTGGTGTTTTCATTTCTCGACGAATAAGGCTCTCCACTTCCGCGGCCTGTTTCTAATGGTCAATCAACATATCCTAACCAAAGACTACTGTTTTGGACACAGCTTACCGATTTTTTTTTAAAGATTTTTAGACAAGTTTTAGTTTCTGAATGCCTCATAAATGGCTCAGAAATTACCAAAGCCTTATTAAACTTACATTGCTACGCTGCGGCTTCTGCGGTGGCGCCGTCCCATTTGCTGTTGTTTTTGGGCGCCTTGGTCCTTGGGATCGAGTACGCAGGGCGGAAGAGGCGCTGAAAAACTAACAATGTAGCTGTAATATCAAAAAGGACGACATACTCACAGAATCGCCGACAGACTGATATTCCAAAAGTCTGGGACTGAGGCGAAAAACGAAACCGCCACTGACAGCCCCCGACCCGAAATTGAGCTGCGTATGCATTGCATATTTGCGGTTGGCTCCCGGCCGACTCAAAACACCCAAAGCCAACGTGAAAATTCGGACATAGCCGTTCGTAGTTTCCAGTCTTTTCAAAATGTGAGTGGTCGACCCAAAAAAATTATCGTAGCGACGTAATTAGGCATTATTAAACCGGTTAAATCTTTCCAAAAGCGTGCATGGACCAATGATCATCAAAATGACCGGAAATAGCTTTAGACCGTTTAACTTATCAGTATTATTGGTGAGAGTGCAGTTTACCCCTCCCACAGCCGGCACCCAACTTGTGTATCTCGGCTCCCTGTTCATCTACAAGTGTGTCCAGTATACCAAAATGTTCGTCTGACTCTGGCGAGTATTTTGGTATACTTTACACGCCTGTAGGTCAACAGGGCGCCGACTTAAGGGTAGGTGGGTGCCGGCTGGGGGAGGGGGTAAACTGCTCTTAAACCGTCTTTTTGAAAGCTAGATACCTGTTTCTAGCAAATGAAACGCAGACCCAAAAAGACACTTTAAAATATACGATTTTAATTTCAAAAATCGCTAATCGTAAAAATCGCATCCAGAAACCATGAAAATTACTCGAAAAGATTCCCTATCACCTGTTCGAAAATCATCTGTTCGAAAATCACCTGTTCGAAAATCATCCGTTCGAAAAATCATCTGTTCGAAAGTCATATGTTCGAAAAGACATCTGTTCGAAAAATCATCTGTTCGAAAAGTCATGTGTTCGAAAATCATCGGTTCGAAAATCATCTGTTCGAAAAATCACCGTTTTCGAAGCAACAACTTTTCCAAAATTCACCTTTTTTTGAAAAGACTTTTCATGACAAAAAAACTAAAAAGAACAAAAAGACATAAGAGGTTCAAGTTTTGGCGATGTTGTCGAGGAACTCGGCCATATATTCTTTGCTGTAGTTCTCGCAGAGCTGCTGCTGCTCGTCGATGGTCACCCTCGGGCGCTTATTTGGCTTGGCGGAGGATTCGATATAGCCGCGCAATTTCAGATTTGCCTCGAACTTCCCCAAGCAACATGCAAAACACAGCATTTTAGTAGCAATAGCTTCCCATAGAATTTTTCCCCATTTGGGACCTTTTTCGAATAGGTGATTTTTCGAACCGATGATTTTCGAACAGATGACTTTTCGAACAGATGACTTTTCGAACAGGTGATTTTCGAACAGGTGATTTTCGAACAGATGATTTTCGAACGGATGATTTTCGAACAGATGGTTTTCGAACAGATGATTTTCGAACAGGTGATCGGCCACCCTCGAAAAACTTCATATTACAACGCATAAACTATCTAGATGATTTTAAGCGGCAATCTGAAATCCTGAAAGTCGAAAAAATAGCTTGAAGGCAGCATAAATCTTCAACAGACACATTTCAAATTTTTCAAGGATACTAATCCCCAAAACTGACATCCAGTGAACCAAATAATCACTTCAAAAAAATATAATGAATGGTCTAGAACATGATTTCAGAAACTAATTGACAAAATAACTATCAAAAAAACGTTCTGTAAATCAAAATTCCCACCTGCGCGTGGATACTGTTGACGTATCCATGCGGGACACCCTCAAGAGTTGTGGTGCCGTTGGTGGTGGTTGTATTGGTTGGTGTGGTGGTTGTGCCTGTGGTTGGGCCTCAACTGGGCCCTTCGGCTTCTCCTCATCCCCTGGGAGGGCATCCATCGATGGCCGCCTCTATCTCTCTTCTCTCTCCTCTTCTCGTGCTCTCTCCCCTTGTCGTCTTTGTTTCGTGTGCCCTGGGGCTATATTCTGCGTGTTTCTCCCTTGTTTCTCTTGTCTCTTCTCGTGTTTTCACACTATCTGAAACGAGGGAGAGATATATTTCATTCCTGCCAAAATAGCAGAGTGGAGAAAAGAGGGGCCCGCGAGACCGGAAATTTGGGGGTGCAGAAGGAAAGGAGAAGCCGCAATTGGAGGGCAGGGCTGGAGGAAATTTGGGAAAGTGCTGCAGAGAATATTATGGCCGAAAAATTAAGGCGAAATTGGCTGCGCAGGCCAGCAGGGATCATTTGGGAATTGGGGATGTCGAAATTGTAGGGGAGGAGCGAAGAAAATTTGCAAAATTGTGGGCTGACTAGCAGACAGTATTTGGGAAATCGAAAATAGGGCAAAAATCACAGAGACCAATTAGCAGGGATCATTTGATAGTCCGGAAACGTTGGATTGGAAAGCCGCTAAGGAAAAAATTTTGGAATATATAGACGGCCTAGCAGATACCATTTGGGAAAAGGCTACGCAGTCTAGCAGCGGTCCTTTGCGAAGCGGTGACATTTTCGCAGGCGACGAAAAACTGCTGGAGAAGACGTCTATGGATTTAAAATCAAACAAAAATGGCTAGGAGCACTAGCAAAAAGCCTTCTGCAATAAACGGAGCAAATTAGCAAAGATCCTTGGGGACGAATTCAGGACAGTTTGGAATGTACGATTAGATAAAAAAAACGCGGTAACTAACGGATGGCTTTGACGCCTGGCTGCGAACAATTTGAATTGGAATTGGGGCGGATAGATTCAAATATGGCCGAAAGCTATCAGAGACTACTATGCAGCAGCGTGGGAAATTTGGGAAGACGTGATTTCACTATTAGACGGTGATCAGGAGCATTTAGGAGGTGAAGAGTAATAAAAACGACACCGCTCAGACGCTGCCGGTCCAGCAGAGATCATTAGGGAAAGGCGGTCGAATCTCTATGAGCAGATGAGTAGCAGAGAGTATCAACAGTAAATTGCAAGGAGGCAAAATTACTACAAAAACCTAGCTAGGCTGCTAGCAAAAAACCGTTTAGGGATAGGGAAGCAGAAAAGCTAGAGAGAAATGAGTACGACGCGTTCCGCGGGGCCATCCGTGTCCCGATGCTATGCAGAACCGAGGGGAGCAACAACTCAATTTGGGCGAGGGCCAGCGAGAGATAGAAAGTGAGACGGAGAGAGAGAGAGAGAGAGGGAGAGGGAGAGAGAGAGAGAGAGAGAGAGAGAGAGAGAGAAAGAGAGAGGGCGAGAGGGAGAGAGAGGGCGAGAGAGAGTACAATTGCTTCTTCTTCTTCTTCTTCTGCTGTGTGCCATTCCATTCGACTGACCCTCATTAAGCCTTGAAAGGGAGGGTCATCATGGAGAATGACCACGATTCGACCGGCCAGAGGGGTAATTTTGGGCTTAATTAGCGTATTCCGTGCGCTTTACGAGTTTTTAGGCATTATTAAAGGCGTCGGCAAGCCTCCCAATGTCAAGAATCCCAAAAATTAGTAAATAACTTATACGTATTTTGAGTAAATCAACTCAAAACCTACGGTTTTTATGAAACTATGATCGGATTACGCTACGACATCCAACCAAAATTAAAAATTTGCATATGATGGCGATTTCACGACGTGCTATAGTGCTTTTTGAAAACACCGGCAAGTCAAAAACTATTCAAAAATTCCAAAAAAATCGCGAAAATTGACAAAATTTGTATTTTTCGGCCGAAAATCATTACGCTATGAAATCCGCGATTAAGCCTTTAAGTAAGTTTTTTTCAGTTAACTGTAAGCCAGAAAACAAATCCGAAAATCCATAGTCTTCAAAAAACACTTCTATCGCGGCCGATCCTGACAAGCAAGTGAATTTGCGCGTTTCCACGCCGAAACTAATTACGACAAGCCTCTCACTTTCCGTGGGCCAAGAAATGTGGGAAAATGGGTTTTGGCTTGTCAGTCACTTCAGGAAGGCTAGGATAGGAAGGAATGTCTGAAAATGGGCAGCTAAAAAGCCCATAAATAGAAATTTGCGAAAATCCGCGAAAAGTTGCCCAAGGTACCGTACGCAAGCTTTGAAAATCCACTTTCAGTTTAATGGTGTAAGGATACAATATATCGGCTGCCAGTTTGACGCTTAAAAAATAAAAAGCTCGAAAACAACCAAAAAAAAATGAAAATTTGGCTGAATTCAGACGACCTTCAAAATCGACCTAGATACTGCACTCAATCCGGTAAAATTTAAAAATATTTCGATTATTTTTTGTATAAATACCGTATCTTGACTACCAGTTAGCAGTTTCCAGGAAAAACCCACAAATTTCGGGTGTATTGGTGGTTGTGGCTAGGGTTGTTGGTAGTGGCCCACCCCAGAGGCCCAAGAAGACCAATTTTCTATAGAAGAAGGGGAGGGGCTCAATCCTTTGGGAAAAGAAGGAAGGGCACCACAAAGGATTCGGTTTCATCTCTCTCCCTCTCTCTCTCTCTCTCTCTCTCTCTCTCTCTCTCTCTGTCCTCCCCCAAAATGGGCCCCATCTGGCCATGTGATCCGGGCCGCATGCAAATCGGGGCCTGGGGGCTTTGCGGTGCGCATTTTCGACCCAATTGGTATGCAGGATGGGGAAAGAGAGCGAGAGAGCGCTAGAGAGAGCGAGTGAGAGCGCGAGAGAGAGAGAGAGTGAGGGTGAAAGACGACAGACAGACAGACAGCGAAAATCCCAGTCATTCTGATCCATTTAATTCATATTTATGCAAATTGCACGCAAATTACGGTGCATATTATCGAAACGGCTAAATAAAAAGAATCACAAAATTTGAGTGTACCTGGCGAGTTTGGAGTTTTTGGAATATTAGCTTAAAAAATAAGTACATAAATTTTCGATGCTGATATACATAATTTTAACGTCCGATTGTTGGCAATTAATTTAAATAAGTTAAATAATGTTCAGTTTCGTTATCCAAGCCCGTGATCCTCGAACAATCCTTGTGGTGTCTCGCCCTCTTGCAGCTGATCCTGGGCCATGATGATGTTGCGGATCTGCTTTTTACTGGTTTCCTGAAACAAGCCAACTTTAATCGAATTTTTCATAAATTCATCCTCATTATGTAATTTATCACTTTAAGGTATGTAAATTTAAAGGAAGGTCGAAGGAAAATTTTAAAAATTACCTGCACCTCACCGGCCAGCAGAAATTCATCCAAGATAAAATAGGCCTTCTCGTAGTTGAAAATGATGTCGAGCTCGCAGACCTAAAGGTGATTTTTGTGGTTTGAATGACCGTATTCTTCTCGTAATCTGAGCACTAAAATATAATTTAATGCATTAACAGGAGTGTTAAATTTTAAAGAGTTTTAGATAAAAATATGTATTTTAAGGTAATTATCGTATTAATACGGTAATCCATAAATAAAAAACACAGTAATTACGGCAATCGATACCGTAGTTTGCAAAAAACTTACAGAGCTAAAATATTTGTCCAGCAGTTCCACATATCGGTGGATAACTTCAAGCGTAATTAATTCATTGTCCTCATCATCCACTGCGCAACAGAAATATAGCGAGGCGTATCTAAATTTAATTATTTTAACCATTTTGATATTACGATAAGGCTGGCAAGCTAGAAAAAAAATCCTTTAGGAATCATTACCCACCTTTTATAGACGACCTTCATATTGCTCGAATACTCCAAAAAAGCGCACATTTTCGGCTTTCGCGCCAGAATTTGCGTGATCAACTCGCGGCAAATTTTCTTCTTTTGCTAAATTTGGATTGGATGACGTAATTGGTTAAATTACCTTGTCTAAATAAGGCGAATACCACTTCTGCAATCGCAATTTGCCTTGGCGAGAGAAGAGCAGCATGAAGTGCATCATTTTGGCGGCTGGAAATTTTATAGAAGCAATTTTGCGCTTTTACGTTATGAAAAGTAATGTAATTTCATGTAAAACAGACTGATTAACTTATCTATTTTACCAAGAATGTAAAAAAAACGCTGAAATTCGTACTTTGTGATTTTTTTTGTTTGTTATAGTGTTTTTTTTTCCCGATTTTCACAACTTGAAATTGAAAGGAAAGCGCAATAAATAAGCAAGTTTTTTCTACAACTTTTATATTTGTACTAAATCGCGGAGAGTATGGAATTTACAGCTTACCCTAGAACTAAATTTTTCATACGGCAGATGTTAGGTGATTTTTTCGAGTTTCACCGAAATTTACAAGGCTTGCACTTTACAAAATAATTTAGTGCATATAAAAATTATAAATATATCTATAGACTGCGCTTTTCTATAGTTAAAACGTGGTTCTTTTGTTGTACAGGTTGTCAAGGGGTCGGCGGGGCCCCACATCGAGACCCGCTGGTGGCTGTGTTGGATCGCCGAGGGCGCACCGGATAGAGGTGTATATGGGATTGTGGCGTAGTGTTGGCCCCAGGAACACCATATACCGGTTTGTACGCTACGAAACAAGACAAATCGCGCCATCAAAATACCACAAAATATTGTAAAATGCCGCGTTTACATTCCTGCAATTTTCCCAAATTTTTCTGTAGCAAATAGCCACACTTTGATCGGTTTAGCCAGTAAACGGTCCCGAACTCGCCCTTTTCCGTCGTTTTTATGAATCCCGCGACGAATAATTTGATAGAAAAAACTTTATTTTTAGAATTCAAGGTGAGAACGATTCTTTCACTTTTCGTTTCCGCGTCAATCGTCCGGATTTGGGTTCCTCGGCTTCGGGTTTCGCTGCGGCAACTTCCGGTGGTGGTTGTCCTGGAGGCAGCTCCGTTTCTACCGCCTCGTAGTCATCCACCGGCTGCAAAAAAGTTTGCTGTTCGCTTAAGCAGTTAACTTTGCTCTTTATCCAGTTAGGCTTCATCTTTATAAACTTTTGTCTTTCTCTGACTTGTAAAAGCTTAAAAAATGTTGAGTTTCGCAAAAAAATGCAGATTTAGAAAGTTTTCAACGTGCTGAATACGAAATTGACTACCTCCTGCTTTACTCGAGCCATCAAATCCGAGAACAACTCCTCGGGATTAACATTTGCTGTCTCTTCCATCAAATTGTATGAGGCCGGTGTAGAATCCAAATCCTCTGGCGCCTCTATTCTCACCATTGCTGCCTAAACAGCTCATCTTATAGGGGGGAAATGTTGATTTTACTATATTTTTCGTATTTGAGTTAATTAATATTTAAATAAGGCGTACCGTATCCGGCGCTCTTTGTTGCATATTTGGCATTAATACAAGATCTCCAGCGACACAACACGTTTCTACCGTCTCGTCCGTTACTTCTGGATGTTTCCGGAGACAGTGACTTTTTAGTCTGAAAGAATTTATTGGATCTTCAGGAACTTCTGCTAGTTTGCCATTTTCTTGATATTTTTTATTTCCTCAATTTTCTCTGCTTGCCTGCCCGATATTTTCTAAACTGCGATAAAACCTGGCTTGCGGCGTTTTCTAAGTCATACGAATTCCTCAAGGATAACTGCTAGGTTGCCGGACATGATTAAATTATCCAAAAAAGTCTGCTTGCCTACTACAGTTCCAAAATTCTTCAAAGATCTCTGCTAGCGCGCCCGCACATGTGTAAAAGTTCCCAAACTAAACCCTGCTAGCCAGCGATCGAAATGAATTTGTGAAGAATTCTTGCTAGCCCCTCCTGCACTAAAAAAATCCTCAAATTTCCCCGAGCCTGAATCCCCAAAAGATCTTTGCTTGCTTGCCAGAAGGGTGATCTTTCGTCAACAAAACGTACTTATGCCTCTGTTCGTAGCTCATCATACACCCTTTTGCCGGGCATCGATATGGTGTCGTCTCCAATTTGTGATCCAATAAATGACGTGTGTATTTACAGCGATTTTCGAAGATTAGGCCGCATTGCATGCAGGAGAGGGAGAGAAGCTGAAATTCCATGTTAAAAAAATCTCTTTTTTTTTGGAAAACGCAATTTTTCTCAAACGAAAGTATTTCAAAATTTCTAGAATTATTTTGACGGCAATTTCTCGTGTTCTAATGCCATTTTCAACGGCGCACCTTCTCCGCAGTCATCGGTTTCACCCGGGCATTTCTATTGGTGGCGACGAGATCTCGTTTCCGACCGGGTCGCCGTTGAATGATATGTCGGAGCGTCACGCCCGAGACGTCCATTCCTGAGGATGCGATACAAGCCGAAAGTTTGGCTTGCAGGGCGTGTGGCGGCCTCGAATCGACTGGCGAAGGCGTCAGGCTTTCCAGGGGTGCGACGCTACAAAATACATCTGTTTACGGCCGTTTTTAGCGTTAATTTACCTTTGGCAAGGTGGAGGCTGTGGCTTAGGAGGAGTACATTGTACACCTAAGCCTAGCGACGGTGTAGGTGGGGCTTTTGGAGCCGGAGTCTGAAAAATTCGGCTCTTTTGCTTTACCCAGGGGGGGGCGGGGAATTTTGGAAAGGAAGACCCCCTAAATAAGGTTCTTATTCAATAACCAGGGTTGAAAAACCGCTTCGCGGCTTTTCAACCCTGGCCCCGTCTAACGCACACATATTTCTTCCCGAACCTTGATTGCAAAAAAATGAAAAGGATCCCTCTACCCCCTTATATAGGCTTTCCCCCACTTCCGGTGCATGCAAATTGGCTCCTAACAAGATATTTTCCGATATCTTTACACAAACTAGATTTTGATAACGAAAAAGTAATTTTTCAAAGCTTTGATTCGTGTGCACTCATCTCGGCACCATTACGCACCTAATGACGTATCATACGTACCCTAAAAACCTTCCCCTGAGGCTGTAGGTGAGAGACAACCTCACGGAAGTTGCATGCAAATGCACACACACAGACACTATTTTTTTATATATAGTAAGATATAGTAAGATTCAGAAAATTCTAGAAAACCCAGTTTTTAAAAGAAGGTGCGATAATTAGTAAAAAGTACCACAAAACTCTAAAAAATAGCCTACCTCCTTCCACCCAATAGCCACAAGTTCAGCGAGTTTTGAACGATTCCGACACGTTCCGGTCAGACTTTTCTGTTTTTGTGCGGCTTCGGCGATCCACAGTAATTCCTTCTAAAGCTTTAGGTTAGGAATTAGGAGAGAGAAAAAGAGAGAGAGAGAGAGAGAGAGAGAGAGAGAGAGCGAGATAGAGAGCGAGCGAAAGATACTCTTACCTTCAATGCATCAATTTTTCCCTTTCTCCATAGTTGGTACGTTCCAATCCTATGTGTGCATTTCATATGCTGTTTCAGCTCTTCCGTTTTTGCCATGGGCCTTGCGCATTCCGGACACGAGTAAGCCACATCGACATCGAATGAATGACCCGCGTCTGCCTGGAAACGACTCGAATTTCTTCCTAAAGGAGATCTGCTCGTTGTCCCCAAGAATCACTGCTAGCCTGCCCTGCCGCTTGAAACTGACCATTTCGACGAGTTGTGCAAGCTGCGGTGGTAGTGGTGGGCCTTCATCTCGAAGGAGCAGCAGCTAAAACTCGATTTTTCCTGAGAAAATCGAACTGACATTTCCGTTCTCCCTGACCACATCATACTCATCACATAAATCCTTGTAAACGGAAGCGCGGATGCTTCCGGAATAGGCTGAAAAAGGTAGAAATAGGATCGAGATAGAGCGAGCGAGAGAGAGAGCCGAGAGAGAGAGAGAGCGAGCGAGAGAGAAAGAGAGAGCCAGAGAGGGCGAGAGAGCGAGAGAGAAAGAGCGAGAGAGAGAGAAATAAAGAGAGAGAGAGAAATAGAGAGACAGCGAGGGGAGAAAAAGAGAGAGAAAGAGAGAGAGAGAGGGAGAGAGAGAGAGAAAGCGAAATTATCAAAAAGACCTACCAGGTCTAATCATCAAAATATGGCGCTTATGAACCTTCACAAACAGCTTTTCCAAGTCTTTAAATTTGAAAAGTCGCGCCTTCGAGCCGTGCGTAGCGTCGTAGTGCGCGATTAGACTGAAAAAACAGCGTTTTAAAGGCACCTGTCTAGCTGAATTTGCAAGCCGAATTCTGACTACAGTACCTATTGATGGAATCGACATACAGTGCCGGGCATTCCGGACATTTCACCGCACAACTCAGGACTGAATTTTCCGTCAATTCCGGCTCGACGTGTTCCTGAGGAAATTTATTACTGTAGCAGCACTTCCAACTTACCGTAGCCACATGGACAGCCAGTTGTGACGGTGTATGACAAAGTAGATGACAACTTGGACATGTCCATTGGATCATTGTGGACGGGGACTCCACACGGAGCGTAGTGGAATCAATCGAGTTGTTTTCCGCTTCTTTCTCGACTTTTACTTCCGGTGATGCCACCTGGAATACAGTAGCTTGGTTGACAATTCGTGATTTTTCGGATTTGCGAGATAATTTTGACTTTTCTGTCGTAATTTTAGAACTACCGTACATTGTCAAGCATTTTCCTGAACGGCTCGAAGTCGACGCCCGATTTAGCGGCTTCCTGCTCAATTAGTTGGACGAGTTGGTGGTTGACCATCTAGAAAACAGAGGAATTTAGCGAGAGAGAGAGAGAGAGAGAGAGAGAGAGCGAGAGAAGAGAGCAGGAGCGAGAGAGAGATTTACATGCAGTTTCATTTAAAATTGAAGAAATTGGCGGGCAAACGAGCAGAGATCATTGAGGAAAATTAGGAAAATTTCCCAGGAGATCCCAGGAATCAGCTGAAAACACTAAAATTGCAAAAATCCGGTAAAGGTCTTGTTTTAAGTTTGATAAAATGCGCCAAATCGATCCATGGAAAAGTACAGAATGCATAAATAGATCGAACAGTAAATTTAAGAGGTTGGCAAGCTAGCAGAGTTCTTTCTGGAAAACTGGAAAAATGGTCAGAGGCCGAAAATTTGGCTAAAATCTTGAAAATTGAAAAAAATATTGAATTGTTTAAGCCAATAAAATTGCGTTCAATCGATAAAACCAAATGCATAAAACGCATAAATAAATTTTCCATTTCCTCGGGATGGCCGGATCAGATGTGGAAATGTGTGGGGGAAGGGGGCAGAGGAATGGCCCGTGCTGGGGATGGGGGAGGGCGAGCAGAGCTCATTTGCATCAGCACAGGGGAGAGAGCGGAGGGAAAGAGGAGAGGGCAGACATGGAGAGTGGGCAGAAGAATTAGCATAAATATCGGGGGGCGGCAAAGCGGGATACACACCGAATAATGAACATTTTGGAGTCGGCCGGCCAGGACGGGGCAGAATATAGAAGTGTAATAGATCGATATCAGGAGCAAAAGCCAAGCTTTAAAAATTAGCGATTTCATCGCTAAGTCTATCAAAAAGGTATCCGATCTTTTTAAATGGATGGAGACATCAAAAATCTGTCTGGATCAGCAAAAAACCCGAGAAAAAACATTTTCTTCAACTTTTCTGAGACGATACGTCAATAGTCGTTATGGATTCAAGCCGAGTTTCACCGGAAAAGGTTTTGAAAATCGCGAAAATTCACGCTTAGACAGGTGCGAAATGTTTTTTAAAAATTTCTGCAGAAACGCGTATTAAGGGGGCAAGCTAGAAGGGATTCTTAGAGTTAACTTCTAACTGGATAGTTTAGGAATCGAGAAACTTACCAACGTTCAGATTTTCGTCGCTTTCAGATGTTTTTCTATGGGAAAACGACACTTTTAGCCCAAATTGGCCAAGAAAATCAAGATTTAGGGAGCTTGAAGCTTACCGAAAAGCTATATAGGTGTCCGCCGGGTGTCCGTTCCGTAAAAAGGAATGTCCAAATTCATTTCTAGGCTTGAAAAATACTTGCTAATGTCAAGAATTGGACGTTTTTGGACGTGATCCCATAGAAAAATCACGTTACTGACCAAATTTCGGAAATATCCAAAGCTTTTAGGAGGCAAGCTAGCAGAGATCCCTGGAGAATTTGAAACCTAGATGGTGTAGCAGCAAAAAAAGCATATTAAAGTATACATTTGCCGTTTTTTACATGTTTTTCGAAATAACGAAAACGACGAAAGAAATGCTAATCAAAAACGGAATTCTGAGCTCGAGTTTCCCGTAAAACCGAAATTTGCTAATTTTTAAACCTTCTCCTAAATATATTAAGGTGTTCGGCATCCGCTAAGTAAAATGGAATGCGGATTGATGTGGGGCATAGCAGGGGCCCTTCCCCTCCCCCTCACCCGCTCCACATTTCCATGCATGGGCAGCCGGGGGTGGCTGTGGCGAGGGCCAAAAGAGCCCCGCCCAATCGATTCGCATGCAAATCATCAAAGAGGGACCCCACGGCTCGAATGGACGGCGGCCAGTAGGAAAAGGGGACGCAGAAGAAGCCTAAAAAAGGGCTGGCTCAGTACTCTCTGGGTTTCTAGCCGTTATTATAAAGCTCAAAAATTGCTCAAATAATTAAAAATTGGTCAGATAACGCTTAGAAAAGCCACTACAAGGTAAAAGCGTTCAAAGTTAACTAAAAAACGACCTCTCTAGGCCAAAAAAGTGGAAAAAGCTCTCTTCGCTCTCGCCGTTTAGCTCCATACGAAGCTTAATGAAGCCAAAAACCGCTGTACTGAACAGTTAGCAGGGGGGAACAATTTTTTCCAAGGGAACCTGCACAGCCCCATAACACAATATAACCCAGTTTCATAGCATTTTACACAGTTTTGTGATATAAAAGCCTATTAAAAAATTGTGAAGCTATTCTTTGTAACTTTCTAGCAAGCATAGACTATGAACGACCTTATAAAAATACAAGATCTATTATTAACAGGTGGGCATAGACGAAAATTATTTTAGCCCTGCTAGCAGTTCAGTACCAAAACCGCTGCTAAAAAAGCTTAGAAAATCGAGAGTGATGTAAAGTCGCTAAAGCTCCGGGAAAAGTTTAAAAGCCGCTACGCGACTTTTCAAACCTGGACCCGTCTTTGTCCCCATGCTATTCCGCCCTTTGCATAATTGTCTTCATTCAGAAGGCAAAAAAAAATGAAAAACAACCCCTTCTGCCTGTTTATGTAGACGACCGCCCACTTCCGGTATATGTTAATTCTTCCTAACATAGAGGTTTTTACAAAAACCTAAATTTAATAGCGAAAATGGCTAATTTCTCAAAATCTGATATGTGTGCAGTCATCCCTAGACCATTACGCACCTAATGACGTATCGTACGTAGCCTAATACCCGTCCCTTCTGGAGATATCCTCTGGACAGACAGACGGAAGTGGATGCAAAGTGGCACACACAGACACACAGACACTATTTTTTTATATATAGTAGGATTTGAAAATTCAGAAAAGCAGCATCAGACCGGTTTTTTACCAGAAAATGTGAAAAGTGAAAAAATCCTCCCTTTTTGATGAAGCAAAGCCATCCATTTACTTTGAAAATAATTTTTTAACCATTTTTGCAACCGAAATCACGATGCGAAGGTTTTAAGATGCTATAAAAAGCGAACGTCATAGGCTTCAGAGTCGTTTTCTGTTGTTGCTGAGTTGTTGAGTCAGAAAAAGTTTTGAGGTGTGCCACGTGAAAATTTTCAGTGGCCTGCATCCACGGAAAATTTTCACAGCCTCCTGGCGCAACTTACGATTTTTTTTGCCTAAAAATTGAAACTCTTCATTCTTTCGTTGTTTTGGTCGTCATTCCGACATAATAATATTCACTTTTTTCAGGCACGTCTGCACGAATGGAGCAAGAATTCTTGGACAAGCTTGAAGCGATGGATCTCAAGGACCACGCGCCTACCGTTGAGAAGGGCCTACTCGATCTGCCCGTCAATCTGATGCACGAGGTGTTCGGCCCACTGGATGCCCGTAGTCTGCTCGAGACGGCGAAGTCGCATGAAATTCTGTGCGAGCAAGCCTTGAAATGGCCTGGAAAGAAGTGGGAGATCGTTTATATAATGTCCACCGGCGCCATCATCGACTACGAGACGTTTGACCGCAGAGAAGCTACCCTTCTGCTGTATGGCGCCGAGCACGGATCGGATATCATGGGATACCGCCGGGAGCATAAAGAACCAGGCACAACGAAAACTTCGATCTTCGATTTGCCCTACGATCTGCTTTGCCCAATCATGGAGCCGCTTGAGACTGGAGAACTGATGTCAGTCGCCAAATGCCATCCAAATCTTCTGCAGGCTGCAAAGAATATCAAGGGCAAGCGTTTCGGTACCGTGAGATGGCTTAACGAGAAGGTCATTTTCACCGGTCCGTATCACATTATCGAGTTCACTCCTGGAGAGGCGGAGCTTTTGTTGACGGGCGCCTCGGTTGACCGGCTGGAGTACAACGTGCAGGCAGATATTTCGCCGGATATGCATGTACAAACGCTAACGATTCAAGGCGAACAGCAACATGCTCACAAATGCGCTGGACTGATCGAGAAGTGGAAGTCTTCTCACGTGGTCTTCCCGAAGTGGAATGTTGAAGCCTTCTCCTCGAATCCGGATCTGGCTCGGGTGCTGAAAGATGTCGAACGCTTGGAACTTGGCTACCTGCCAGTCGAGTGGTTGGACGACATCCCGGAATGGAAATTTACTTTTCTGAAATTTCGCCTCTGCACTGGCGGACAAGATTTCACTTCACAAATCCAAGCCCTGGGCCAGAAGCTCTACGAACAGTGGTCCAGATATAAACGCGACTATATCTACATCTCTATCGAATTGGACTCGGAATTGAGACTTTTACAAATTGGCGCTGGAACTCTCCCATGGGACAGAGCTGATGCCTTGACATTGAACTGGTGGGTTGCACCGGCCGCACCGATTGGCCACTGTTTTTCAATGAGCACGCATCATCCGATGGATGATTATCCATCAGACGATACTGCGGACTACAGCGGTTATTCCTCTGAAGACGACTGGGACGTCGGGTACGATGACTGGAACGATGACTGGTGGTCCGACTAGATATCTTTTTTCCTTTGTTGTCTTCTCATTTTGTTGAACAGCGTTGATAAATATATTTGGCAGAAATTGTTCTTATTCCAATCAAATCCGATTTTCTCGGCCTCGGCGTCTCTTTTTCCTTTGTGGGAATCGCTGTTTTCTAAGAGTTGGAAAATTTGGAGTTCTAGTTCGTTAGCGCGCGGGGCAACATTTTTTATCGATAGCTTCTCTTATCATAAGTTTATTTTGAGCTGTATACAAACATATCGGTCGATTTTTTGATGCTCTATCCAATCGCGTTAACAGAATGTCGAAAAATATAAGAAATCCCGAAAAATTGCTTTTAAAACCCGTTTTCAGGAATATTTTTGCTTTTGGTCTAACTTTCTTCTAAATTATAGTGTTTCGATCGAGAATCAAAATTATTAGCACGTTTTTTGATGCTCTTCCAAATTGTGATGGTGTAGTCCTCAAAATATAGTGAAATATTGACAAAAATCTACGACATGAAATCCCTCCGCCCCGCTATCAAACCAGAACCAAAATTGGCTTCACTGATGGG